TAAATAAGTATTCCAGTTCGCCCGTGGATCAAACTGAATTAATAACTTGTTCGTAGCCTATCGTTTTTCCATCACCGTCATCGATTTCTCCGGTGATCCACTAGTCCATATCACATTTGAGTATTTTATAATCAGTTTCTATTGATCTGACCAAGCAAACTGACACATAACTGGTTCTTTTTTAGCTAACGCAAAATCAGTCCCAAAGAACACGAGTAATAAGTTAGCTTTGATCTGCTAAAGATCACAATGGAAATCACATTTGAGAAACGATTCTAGACTCACACAGGTTTTCGGTGAGCAATTGTCTTCAATCAATAACCGATTTCTTTGTCTCCAAACGGTTAAACGAGAGTCCAAAGACGACTTCGCACATGTCGGCATTAAGAATCGAGAATTTAAACGTTTTCAGCTCTCGGAAGATTAACTAGAATGTTTCCTCCTCATCCTGGAATTACAAGTACATAAAAATGCAGAAATCAGAACATCTCCTCAACAAAAATGCACCAGAATAAGAAGGTCAATACTAAAATAAGATCAGTGACCTCGTAGCTCAGTATTATGCAAAAGCGTAAACGGCATCCATGCGTGGGCTAGAAATCCCTTCTACTCTACTGACCCTTTCGTAATTTAAACACAACTGCCGCCGTTTTGGCCTCTTGGCCCAGCTGATAGAGCAAGCTCTATGGAAAAGCGTGGGTGGTGTCAAAGCGTGAATTCGAATTTTAATGAGGTTACTGATCTTTTTACATTTTACCTTTTATACTCTGTCAAAGAACATACATTGAACATAATGAGAAACTCAAAGCGGAGTGTCAGACCTTGATCAATGTGAAATACGAATCCGCGATTATTCGGAACAGTGTGGTGTTTAGCTTCATCTAAGCACTTACGACAGCCCGTTTGCGATAAAATCGGTCTTTTCAAGTCAATTGGAAACCATATACCTGCCGCGGCAGTGGTATGTAGCGTTTTCATTGATAGTGCTCGTTTCATTTACATTACCAGTGCTGCAATCGACTGAGTCATCGCTATAGAATGTCTTAATCACCATTTGCTAACGCTAAGATGTCCATTCGTGGTACCTTCGTTTCCAGGTGACGATTCTGAGCTAGAGCTGAGCGCAAATCTTCAAGCCATTTGCAACTCTGAGTTTAATAACCGCCTTCCACCTCACCGCCAGTAATCACGGGAAAGTTTTACATGTGCTGAAAAACAAGCACTGCCTCCGCTTGCAGTGGGACACTGCCTAAGATAACAATATAATTTCTACCGGAATGTGGCGTTCCTTCGGAAGCTCTTTGTTTCCTGACAACCTCCTAGGTTGCCGTCAGTGCGTGCGACACTATCGTTCAGTTAACTCGTAAATGTCAAAGGCTGTGACTGTTCGAGGCTTTTCCATTGCAGGCATTTTCTATGCCACCAAATTCAATCTGATACTTCCCTGGCGTTGGTGGCCAAGTGGTTAAGTCACCAACTTATGACCTGGAAGTCCCGGGTTCGAGCCACTCCACCTTCGCCCGTCTTCCCTATATCTGTATTTTTCCCAGGCGGTCTTTGTACGGCCGCAGACCTCTTCCTGAAAGTTGACTGTACATTTGTATATTCAATAAATAAAAAGGAAGTAAAATGACATTTTAACTAGACTGGGTTGTTGGTTGGCACTGATCTGCCCTAGATAGCAATAATTCTCTAACTTCGAACACAAATAGGAATCAAACCTTACAACTGATTCTAACTATCCAACCAAAACTAATTGCCTCTGGTTTGAGCTCGGCGATGACATCATACACATAAGTGATTAGGAAACCTCGTGCTTTGCATGTCATGCAATCATAACTCGTAGCTCTCTTTCATTTACATAATCACCCTCGTTCGAGACAGATTTGTCTAAAAACATAGTTTCATTATCAACATAACCACCAGGACATTTGTTGCGATCAGAAAGACAATGGTCATTACTGAAGGTGAGCCACTGCAGATTGAAAAACTCTTGGAAATTCTAAATTACAAATTCATGCCACGCATTCAGCTCCATTCGAGTTAGGTATCGAAATACTTACTTAACCGATGCTTTCAACCCAAGAGATTTACAGAGATATTGCAAATGGAGAGGAAATTGGCAGTTTTTTATTCTAGCACGCATCCTCTGTTGGAAGATTGATAAGGAATCTACCCTGGGAAAACGGGCACTAAACGCGCATAATACTTCGCCATTGCGAAACTACTTCATCTCAACCTTACCTTGTAATTCACAGCAAGTGACTGACAATATACGAATCAAATGCTGCTACAGAAGTCATATTAGATTCCCGGACTTTTCTCAAACTAATCTGAAAATGCACCCGCAGGATGTAGACCTGATGGATTGTGGTTTTTACATACCCGCCCGCTGAGTTGCGGTTCAGGTCTTTGTTAGTCGAGGGCTCCGATTATCAACCTCTCTAGGAAGTTCACCTGCTTTGGTTTGAGAAACCTGGCAATACTCCCCCCACGAGAGAACCATAGACCCATTTCTTCGTCGGCAAGATTGATGTACCGTGTTTTGTGCAGCATGCAATATGGGCTCAAGGGGTGAAGCGTAATATGACAGCGACCTTTGACCCAATTTTTCGACTCCGTTCTTCTGATCAAAAGTTGATGGCCTCAGGTCACCTGATCATGACAACCACTGAATGTGGATCATCCGCTTTAATTGTGGAATTCGGTATGGTGAATCTATGTAGTTGCCGCAATTTCCAACAGAAGAAATACTGGCAAGTTCAGCGAAGAATGTGAAAACGAGGTCATCTTAGAAGAAGTTTTACACCGTCCCTAGGAAAAAAATTGTTGTTCTGCTTTTTTTCAATAACTGTATTAATGAACTCTTCAAAACTAGACTCTCGAAAGCAACAAAATCCAAATTTGACAGCCGAATTCAAAATGTTCTACTCTTCATATCCGGTCATTGCTCAGAAACTTAAGGATGGATTGCTACTATCAACCGTCTCTATGCGCGCCTATCAGTTCAGGTGATCCTATGGAACCAGTTTCATTGGTCGCACAAGTCGGCAGTTGAATAAGAGGATTAAAACGCATCGTCCGGCGTGACGGAGGAAAAAGCTTAAACAAGCCATCCGTAGCTCAATTAGGGGGCATCTGATCAACGCGGGGCACTTGGTAGATGTCGAAAGGTCACTTAAGATCAACTACAGAGCCCTAATGAAGTAAATTATACAGTGAGCAGTCAAAGCGTTATCTCTTTGGATCCACTATGCAAGAGACTGAATTACCCGCACCCGGAAAACAACTTCATAAATATGCCCCTCCACGCCCACTTCCACCTTTTTGTTAATCCGGACTTGTATTGTCACCCTGTGATCCTATATTAATGAGCAAGTTTTAGAATGAATACACCAAAATTACTCTCCGCTTTAATTATCACCTCAATCAGTAATTAGTAATCTGATCGCTGAATGTGGAATATCCTGTCAAGAGACCATTAAAACGAACAGAGCTGTTCACCTACACACTGAACTGCAGACGAACAAATGTGCAGAATCCCATGACTAGCAACTGCTGATCAATGGGTGCTACCGGTGCAGTGGGGAGCAGCGTACTGTGTAAAACGTCATTGCTTGTGAATGTCGTATTTGAACATACTTGAGAAATAATGGAAAATCGTTGTTAAGCCTAATAGGAGAAAACCTAAGACAGGCAATCAGCGGGTCCTGAACTGACGATGCCTGTTACAAAAATGTTTCGGAGAAGAGGTTGATAAAAATTTACAAAATTCCTTCACAAGATTATCAAAATTCGAGGACATTTTGAGTTCAGAAAAGGTGTCTGAAGAATGGTTACCAGGTCCCACAAAACTTCACCAGATTACTACGCCTGGATTGCAATGAAACTCAGGAATTTCTAGGGAACGATTAAGAAATATGACCAAGTTTAATTATTGTTGTTGGAATTGAACGGGAATCAAAATTAATTCCCAGTAAAGATAATCAAAAAGTGACGAGTAAAAAATTGAAAATGCCGTCAACAGAAGAGAAGTGTGTGTGGCAAGGGACGAAATTAACACGTAGGTCCTGCACCCAAATCGGCTGTACAAAGTGCGAACTTCGACGAATGCGAGAATGAAAGAAAAAAAAGAAAAACTACATACAATCATGGTATCACAATGGAGTATTCACTCACTCACACATCCACCAAATTCAAAATGAAGGTTGGAGAGAGAGGCATACTTGATAAACACAAAACAAAAGCCCGATATTAGATGTATCCGAAGCTACACACGTGTGAAACGGCGAGTTTCATTTTGGATAGAATATGGTGTATCGTTCGGAACAAGGAAGTCCGAAATGAATGCAAGTCTGTCACTGGGGAATTGGAAGAGAGCGATGGAAAGTTCAGATGATTGTGAATATAGGGGTGAAGAGGGGAGCTGGAGAAGGATGATGCGATTGTGTGCGTATGTGTGGTCATATACACGAAAATGAGTTTGATAAGTATACACGACAATGAATACGGTGTTTCATGAGCGGTGAAAAGCTTTAAGCACGAGTTAACCCTGAGTTCGGAGGAGTAAATTTATTAGACGTCTTCAACGCGGAGTAACACAGTTTGAATGACGATAGAGTGCATATGGGATAAAAGGAAGGTTGGCTACCAGAAGTGGACATACATCTGATTCTCTTCAAAAGTTTGTCAATGTTTTTTGACTAACGAGAATGCCACTAATCTTTTAGATAGCCGGTTGGAATAAAAATATAAGCTTTCTTCGAGAATAGCATACGTATCTCTTTATCAGTAAAGATATCGCAGGCGTGATGAATAAATGTTCCCTGTTCTAAGTATACACAACTGTGAGGTTGAAAGAGAGGTTGATCAAGAGGCACTCGAGTGGATGGATTGAAGGCTGATGCCTGGTGAGCTGATGTCATCGCGTATGTGAATTCGTATTGGCTTGAATCACTCGAAAGCAACTTGCACTGTGGGCGTACTTCAGGTTGCTTGCACTAGACACCTTCCATTTTCACTGGATACGAGTCTAACAGACAGGTATGTTCTTCTTTCTCCAATCCGCCCGATGTTCTTATCGGATTATGTCCTAGAAACAATTCGTGGAAGAACCATGGAAGTTGCTGACACTGATTTGCTGATGGCTCTTGTAAGAAGAACTCTTGTGTGCACATTGTGATTGACCGTATTTCCGTCAGCGCCATAATTATACGTGGCCAGCATTGTTGAATAGGTGATAGCTTGTTCTGACGTCTGATACGGTTTACTCGTCGGTTGAATGTCTCCAGTAGATTATTTTGTGTCTCCTCGATCGCCTCGATATCGATCAGGTCAGAGCGATCTGGGTAAAACAGACAGATGAATCAGTGATCGTGTCAAATTTCTCAGACAAAATCCTGGTCCCCAGAAAGAAATAACTTGTTAGTTTCAAGATGCAGGAGTAAGAAAAATATTCCCTTTTGACGATGAATCTGTGCAATAAACAATCAACATTAGAAATTAAGACTTTATTGTGGATGATCGAAATTCTTAACACAACTCCGGATAGAAGTGATGGCGTAGTGGTTTAATCGCTGTCACAGGCGTGCTTTGGACCTTATGGCCCGAGGTTCGAGTCCCGCCACCGCCACCCGACTTTGGTGGTAGGCAGCTTTGCTGTCGTCGGGTTCAATAACACGCCTAACCTAACTGATCCTTATGTGGTTCGCCACTCCAAGTTTCGGGGCTTAGGTTGCCGGTTTCCACCACTGAACCGCAGGTCCTCGCGACTATGGGATTCACCCCGTCTGTTGTTTATCGCACTTAGGTGTGTAATAAAAAGAAGTGGTTGAGCGATCTGAATTAATGTCGTGAGTACAGTTCATGGTGAAGAGCTCCGTCCTAGCTCCCCACTATTATCCTATTACATGGTCAAAATTGATGTTGGATTTAGTACCAATGATCGTAGCTCAGAATGCAGAGAACGAAGTGTTGTTCGCGGTCTTTTCGTAGCCAGGCTAGGCAGAACCATTAGTAAAACTTCGGGGAATTTATGTTTCAAGATCACTGAATGTTGGTGCCTCAAGTTTCGGAACCGTACATAGACTAAGTGTATTGTCGCGTGAACCAACGAGGGATTCATTTTAGCTGATTCAGCTATTAAGTTCTTGGAGCTTTTGTATTCTACAATAGCTAACTGTTAATTTGATGAATTTAATAAGGATGTTAAATGAAGTAGTAGGGGATAGGTATTATGAAAGGTTTTCTCGTGTGTTACTGACAGAGATCTGTCTCACCTAACTGTGGTTACTAAAATGGTTGATCTATAACCAATGGTCACACCCGCGTGAGGAGTATACCTACAGGACCGGGATGAATTTCATCCCAAATGTGTGATTTTGCTGAGGTGGGACGTTATGGTTGACACGATCAAGATAGATGAGAATGGCGAAGTGACAACTAAACCGGAGGCCTTAACTACCTTCGAATAGAAAAAGAACGATTGAAGCACAAGATATGAGCATTTGAATCACGAAAGTGTATATGAAATGAATTAGGGACAGAAAACTCAGGTATCTTCTCCCATGATGATAGCTCCCTACCTGTGGGTCAAGACTACCAACTGATTCCTGATTAGATATCTGTCAATCCGAAATAACTTCTTTGACATTATTTCTAGAAGACTGTTTCTAGTAAGCTCTGCAATGACTCTGTAAGAGTATCTTATGGATAGATTGCTTCTAATCTCCCAAACTTGGACAATGAGGCCAACTATTTCTATAGAAAGTAACACCGGAAGGATGGAAACATCTAGGCAATATCAGATCAAAACTTCACGATTCTAGGCATACATCAGCCACGCACATTCAATACTTCTCCATCAACTAGTTACAGTGCATTTACGCGCAAAATAACTGCCGTCAGACATCATTACGGCCATTCGAATCGTCCAAATCACAGACTACTCCCATGGAATCATCCTGTCGATACGTTTCCGTGTAACATCATCGGCAGATTCAAAAGAGATAGGGCAGTAGAAGTATGCTAAATTCGTGTCAGAAGTAGAATAACCTGACATACAGCTACGATATCTATTTCTACCGAGCAATACAAGAGGCGAGATCAATCGTACGCTTCCAGAGAGATTGTTGCGGTCAAACTTTATTCTGTGATGGTTGGTTTGAAAACAGTCTTTAATAATCAAACAAAAACTTAGTTGCCTCATGCGGTGGAATGGAATGACTCGAACCAGACAATCAATGCGATTGTGAAAGCCGAGTGATCCGGTTTGTCGATCGTGTGCTCAAATGCTATGATTAGATGGTCATGAAACCATGGAATGACATGTGTCCCGAACGTGATCGGTGACACACACACAGAAATGTGTGAATGCGGATTATAATGCGATTACAACAAACCTGATAGAAAGGCGAACGATTTTTTCGATGAGGTATTCATGTGCATGCAGGTATGGATGGATGGGTGGATGAATGGATAGATGGATGGATGGATCAACGATCGCATTGTTCCACACATTATGAAACATGAAATGCTGAAAACATGTCTGAGGGCAGCCTGCAAACTGCTTCCAGTAATGCTGTTCTGGTATCCTGAGCACAAACATGCCTGATAGTGTGTGGTTGGACGAGTGAGGTCACAGACCCGCTTATCCGATTTCCATGGCCGAACTGATTGGCTGACGAACAGCCTTTCCAGGTCTTCAAGGTCATACCGATTACGAATTAAATGTTGCATGACCAGCTTGTAGTCACAAGATCAGTGTGAGTTGATAAATAAATGGGTGATAATCTCACAATTTGCAACACGATTCAACTAAACAAAACGTAAGTGAAAAGTTTTCTTTCTGGAATGACAACGACATAAAGCATTCAACTAACGACGGTTTGGTTTGAACAAAAACATAAGACGTGAAGCAGCTGACCTGGTGACATGAGCAATATTGCTGCCATCATGGCCACTTCCGTTTGGTCCACGTTGAGACGAGCCAGCTTCAGTGCGACTGAACGAACACCCTGTGCACATCGTTCGTCTGAAGTACCCAGTTTTGGGTAGTCCGAATTCATGATATAAGGTGGCGTATTATTGTTCCCGTTCCACACAGTCGTTGTGGGCTGAGATGCCGATTGAACAGTATTGGGCGGAGGCCTTAACAATCCGTCTGGTTTGTATTCATCCTCCATTTTGTTCACGCGGATTGTGGAATTGAGACTCGGTTGTCGTACCAGGTGATCTGTAAAGCCTTGCGTTCGAGCCACTAAACTGATTGAATAGGCGGCGCGTAAAGTGATCAGGTCCAGACAGCAGTCTCGAACGAGGCGGATTTGATCATCAGCTCCCAGCTATCAAATTAAGCATGAAGAATATGAATGAATCTAGGCTCGACACCTGAGATTGTAGCACTGAACAGCTGATTCGGGTAAACAAGCAATATGTAATGGATGATTAAAATGGCCATTGCGAATAAAAAATGATCATATATCACGCATAAAGCCCTAAAACAAAGACGTCAGATACCTGAGGAATAATTTATTTCTATTACGGATAACTGGCAAGTGTGCCACAAAACATGAACAAAATGAAATCTGAGGAACTATCGTGAGTATGCTATCGGTTACACTTCCTGGATGGGAATACTGGATTTGGCAGCGATCGGTGAGGTTCAGTTTTTAGCAACATACCTTAGTGTGATGAACAGCAGATGGGGTAAGCCCTCATGGTCACGAGGACCTTCTGCTCAGTGATGGAAACCTGTAACCTAAGCCCCGGGGCTTGCAGTGGCGAACTACATAAGGCCGATCAAGATTAGGCGTAGTATTGAACCGTAAGACAGCAAAGCTACCTACCGCCAAACTTGGGTGGCGGTGGAGCGAGCAGCTGGAATCGGACTGTTGTGTGACGATGCATGGAAGTTGCAGGCCTTTCTGGGTAAGTTTATTGCTAGTGTTGCTCTGTTAGAGCTTCTGTACCTTCACAGTGCAAAATGCTGTTAGAAGACTGAGCTGCGGTCAGTGTAGATTCTTTAAAAGAACAGTCAATATTCAAGAATCACACGACAACAACTTGAAACAAAATCCAGCTTGCTTGCCTTTTTGTTCTCAACCTACATTCTTCTGTTCACCAATATTCGGTTAAAAATCAGCAATAACATATTTTCAGGTCACTCAAATCAACATCACAACTGAAGGATTCCAGTTATCAGTTAAATGCATTTTCCGGAGGAACAGTTACCGATTGCATTTGTGAAATTCATTGCTTTTCGAATGGCATGATCAAGTAAACAAACTGATAAGTGTAGAAAATTAGCCAAGGTCAGGCGTAGGAACTGCAGTGTTTCCTCCACTCGAAGTTATTCCACTCCACAAAACTCAATACACATTCGAAATGATAGCAATGGACCTTTCTATCTTCAAGTGAAGCCACCCTACTCTGCAACCTGAGCTGAGTCAGAATCGACAAGGGGGTACCGATTTGGTAATGTGCGGATAAAGACAGAGCTAGCACACACCGATATAAACGATTTTACTGAACAAGCGAAGTACGGAGCAAACACGGAAAGTCTTGACACTAGTTGTTAGTGACACGGGTCTAGACTCGCATTGTTTATAGTTATACGATCCTGATAATAATAAATCAGAAGCGCCGATTACATCTTGTTAATTCGCTCTAAACAGACAGAGTACTTACTTTCATTATTCCGATTAGTAGATGGAATTTATACAAATGTAAAATATAACGGAAGCCGATAGGGCACATCAAGAGATATATAGGTGAGCAAAACGTACTACTCCAAATCCTGGTACCCGTTTGGCAAAAGCGACAAGACACGCGATCATGGGTTCAATCACATGGGCCAGATCGCAAAAGGTACTGGAGTAGAAGGCTCGGGCCTGGTTAATGTCTTCCCGTTCCACATCGTCCAGCTGTTGAGATGAGCATTCGTACACGGGATTGGTTATGAAGAGCAAAATGGTGAAAGAATGATCTTGGTGAATGTTACGAAAATTACACGAGGTAAACAGTGTTTTGGTGAATGGTTTTCAAAATTCTGTCAGCGCAAGGGATAACGTCCGCCCCCCCCCATCCTTCCGAGAAACAAGCAAGGTAAACCATGTTTGATTCGTGTTTTTCAACCAATGATGTTGATTGAACACTGCTCCCTCTCCCAATTGTTAGGACGTGTTGTACGGTGAGAATGATTGCCAAATTCATTCCCACTTGCACATGCATCCACGAAACCTTGTTCGGAAATTACAAAGGTGCGCAAAACCTTACGTACACCTTTGAGTGTATTATTTTACACTTGCTGAAAATTGTAGGTTAACTTACTGACAGAGTTCAAACTACGGAACTACAGGAAGCCCAAACACGAAAATTGTACCCTCCAACTATCAATACAATGTACTGGAGTCACACTTCACACACGAAGGGTGAACAAACGCAGTAGTAGTCGTCGCACACAGTGAGTGGCAAGAGGCACTTTATCCTGAGAAAATGGTTTTCCTTGAAGAAATTCGAACTGAGCAATTTTCACCGGTACGAAAATTGTCCGATTAGATTTCGCTATCTTGTGCCTGATTTTTCTTCATTTGTCTATCGATGGTTTTTTAAACCCGTGCTGCAGTGGGGACTGAATTCTGTCCAGGACGGTGCATGGACAAAAACGGGAACGGTAGACCTTGTACTTGGTACCTACCACTAGTCCAAGATAAGATATGAGTGGGCGGATGAGGAGTAGTAGTCCACTTGCAACCGGCTACACCACGACGTACTTTCGTAAGAAAGCCTGTAACTTGTGAATCCACAATGCTTTGAACCACGTACTTTCCAGGTTCTGACTCCTCGTCCATGTGTACACGTAGTGAATTGTTCGTACCGTTTGAGTTCAAGACCTGTGAAAATAAGTATGGACGAGAGGAAAGTGAATCATCACATGCAACAGGGTTTTAAAAAAAAGACGGATCATTGTTTGAAAGCAAGCGTGTGACCAAGGGAGTTACCTCTGTTTTACGTCTAGGTTATAGATACACTGATGATTAGTACCAATCATTAGCTGAAGTATCAACCGATCAGAGACGTGTGTTGAATTGATAAATTGCTACCTTTAATCAGTTACCCCGCGATTTGTGGATCGACATCAGAAAACGTTCGTCGTCATGACAATGTGGCAAATCAATCTGTAGAAACTCACATTCGGTTCGGCGTTGGCAAAGTGTATTGTGTCGTACGCTTTGCGAATCGTATCCACCAAGTCTTGATCTTCTTGTGTCCAAGGGAAATCCGATTGGGAATCCACATCCTCCACATGACATGCTTCGTTAGTATGCCCACCGGCAGTACCACCGGCATTAGACATTCCTGTTTCATTGTTCAGCATAGTAAATCCAGACGGTGGTGAATTTAGAGCTGAAGGGATCATAGAGTCTGACGTGTTTGTCGACCCCGGTTGGCCATCCATACTGAGTGTGCTGATTAATGGAAGTGTGGGACCATTGTTCATATTGAGCGATAATCCGTCCAAAGCCTGGTGTCGCTCCACGGATCCATTACTACTGTTGTTGCTGCTCATCGTATCGCATGTCATATTGCCCAATGATCGTAACGATTGCGCCCCAGTTATTCCCATAGGTGGGGATGTTTTCTGTCCCCTGGACCGGGCAGACGTTGGACTATCCATTGAGGAGTACGCTTGTACTGGAGCTGAGCTGAATTCCCCGGACCACTCTACCTTGGCATCTGCAGTATGATACATGTTTACTCGTTGTGAAGAATCAACACCGATAATAGTGGCTACACTGGCCAGTGGACTGCTTCCATTCGGTCTGGATACAGGATGCCAGAAACCGGTAGTTTCTGTCGCACCAGAGTAAGGTCCACCACCATGGGAAACGGATAAATCATCAGTTGTGTTGATCGGTTTTGTGCTCACGAACGGGCCGAGCTGAGTTACACTGTAACCCTCGGTGGACATCAAATGACCAGATGGTTGTTGGACTAGATGAGGCACATTTGGTTCATATGGGGGTGCCGTCACGGGCTGACGACCATAGGGCATTGTCGGGCAGGGGACAATCATAGGTATTGGGCTGGACGGTACAGACGGTCCAGGGCCGACAGGAACTTGTGTCATGGGCAAAGTCATTGTGGATCCATTGGCAGCATAATTAACCGTAATCCCCATCGTACCCGGACTTGTTTGGGAGTAAACAGTCAAATTGGGTGGATGGGGGTGTGAAAAACTAGACATATCGTTCGATTGTGATTGCTTTACCGTGGTAGCAATGGATGCAACCGATGTTCCTACCGCGTATCCGGCAGCTGTTCCGGAAGGCGATTGTTTCGGGGGGGTGGGTCCAGAAGAGTGTCCGTTTCCACCTACTGGGGTGTGCATCCCACCCTCCGATTCAGCTCGTTTACGGGCACGATTAGCCTCTATCAGGCGTCGTTTGGCCAAGCGTTTATCTTCATCAAGGACCACTGTATAAAATGAAACGCAAGGGCACCGAATACACCGGCGTTCAAGTTTAAGTTGTTGCAACCGTGAAAATGGTGGCACCAATCTCATATAAACAAAACATATAGACAGGATAACAATCCTCCGGTCAGTAGAGAGTGATGACAACGAATGAGCTTGCAGTTCCTCTTTCCTCAAGTCTAGCTCGACTTGAGAGTCGAGTGGGCCGAACAAATGATGACGAATCAGACAGTCGCACAATCTGTCTGTCCATCTGTTCACGGGTCTAACCTTGAATTGTGTGTACTTTTCCGCTGCCTTTGGGAACAAAGAAAAATTCCGGTCGATGGTGGTGGCACGCTCGCCGAAACCCGAGGTTACCTAATCCCATGCTTCCGGAATACGGATGTCCCACCAGCATCCCCTTATTCGCCCGCTGGAAGTTGGAACTGGCAACCGATAGGATCATTTTTCCTCCCGAGGACGAACGGAAGACCGAAATTCCAATGAGATGTGAATTTTGTGTATACCTGTTTGTGTGCGTCATGACTGCTCTGCTTTGTTTCTTCATAGGTCACCCAAACCCAACATTTCCGACAATAAAACATGAATACAAAGCAAATCACAGAGAGAACAAAGACACTGTAATCAATTTACTCATTTACACTGGAAACAATGAGCGTACGAGATACGACGACCTAACCTAGAATTTGAGTAAAAAGATTCCAATTATTTTTGGATAAGATGATAACCCACTACAGTAGTTCACGTGGATAGCTTGTTTATATCATGACGAATAAACAGTATGATGTTAGTTGTTCGAAATCATCTAAGTTACAGTAGTATGACCAACTGTAGGAAAAAGACTGTGAATATTCGATGTTCTTGAATCGATCCCGTTTTTTGCGTTCGAAGCTTACAGAGCTTAACATCAGTTTCACAATCTGAGTGGTCATTCGTGCATTGTATATACCACGCACTGCACAATTTCGCCCACTTTGATGACCATTTGCATTGTAAAATCGTTCTCAAAACAGATTCGGATAGACCAAGAGGTAATTTGATATCGAATTAGTTTTTATTCCATAGAAATAGCTATTAAAGTGATAAAAATTTCCTTAAATGTAGAGCATGAAGAATATTAGGAAATCGGTTGATTTGGCTGAGTGGCTACCTGGACGTTGAGGATGTTCAGTTGAAGTTATTCCCGGCAAGGCACGGATCTAAAATAAATCCCATGAAATAATTCTACCAATTAACTTAGGTTTAGCTGTAACGATACCGAACCAGTCAGCTCACAAGACAGAGCCACTACTACAATAA